CATAGCTGACTGTATTATCTAGTGTAGACAGCTGAGAATGTGAGAAGGTTCACTAAAAAGCGTTTCACAAAGAATTTCGAATTCTCTTCAAAGGAAGGTTAGACCATACCAAGAAGCGGAGTCTATTAAAAGATGCTCAATAAGATACATTGCATGTTCTCCAAATGTCTGTTACAGATGGCTTTCTGTCTGTAACTGTGATTTGAAAAAATACTGATTTATGTTCCGCAGAACACAGGAAAAAATACAGAAGGAAATTAGTGCCAGCCACTAGAAAGGAACAGACTCTACTAAGAAAATTGCAGAGCTGTAGGAAGAGCTCCTATTACCCGGGGTTGAAACTCTCCTAACGTCCAGAGAAGAGGGCTGAATGATATGCAATATGTCAACATGTCCTTATTTAAGGAGTGCTGCTTTGGATGGGCTGCCAAACAAGGGGAAAACAACTGAACCATGAGAAAAGTACATAAAAATGTTTAATGCTTTGGCTCAGAAGTCACGTGTATGGAAAGCCCATAAACAAGCACTAGCCACAACAAAAACACTGCACACTGAGTGCCTGAGCAAGCCAGGCCATCGGCACTGAGAACTAACAGCATCCTGGGCTGTCAGCTCAAAGAATTTACTGAACCTTTCCCCAGATTACTTACTGCTCTTACAAATACCACTTTTCTGGGTTGTGTATGGAGGTACCAAATGGCAAAGCAAGATGTATTTCCATGAATGTGCCCCTCTTGACAGGCAACACTCATTCCCACTGCTCCCAAAATGTACTGTAAAGGTTGAGCATTCTGCAACAGATCTAATGAATTTCAACATCTTTGAAGATTTGATTCCACACAGTCTTCTGAAAAACTCCCATCATCTCAAAGGACACAGTAGGCTGCAACAGAAAGTTTACCATCCTATAGTCTTCGGACATACAGCAGCTATATGACCTTTTGTATGGGCCCCTTTTCAGTGCCCTAAACAATATCTCATCATGTGCAGCCGTGCAAATCTAATGGAATATATGACCACATGAGAATAAATTTCAGCAACGTCTTTCCACCAAAATAAAGAATTCAAGTTCTTATGGCGACGCTCCTTTCTGAATTTCACCACTGAAACTGATTTGAAATCCTTGTTATCGAAGCACCAATTTTATAAAGGACCAAATAAAGCCCGTGATAGAACATTCTGCCTTTACATGTTTGGGACCTCCTGTCTGCAATGAGGAAAGCCAGCACCACTCAGTCAAAGCCTGCTCTATATATCAAGAACACGGTTACCACTTATTCTCTGAAAATAAACAATTTGCTCACATCTCCAGACACTCATGGCCAAATGGACCAGTACGGGCCTTACTGGCTAATTCTTTTAAACTCTCTTGAAAAGTAGAGGTTTGATGGCTTGGAATAAATGAATTAAACTGAGTCCTCATTTTAATAATATCTTTTTTTTAAAATTGAAAAAAATGAGAACTTGTCAAACTGCTACTGAAGTTGAATCCTGCAAAGATTATGGAACTGGGACTGACATCTGCAAAAGCAAGTCTAGTTTTATTGCTTTCAGTTAACTAAAATATATAACTCACACGCCTCTAAAATAGGCTACTTAGCTGGAAAACTAAAGTATCTTCAGTGTTTGACATTTTAGTGTATACAGATTTTCTTAAATCATTATTTGTTGTTATGATCAGACCTGCTAAACAACATAATCCACCAACTCAGTCTGTAAGGACAAAATAAGTAGTTGTCATTCAACACTCCATCAACACCCCCTCTACCAGATGCCTTCTCAGTCTTCTCTTCATCATGAAACTCAGCTGCAATACCTATCCTGAATACCACTTTTTCAAATGAATTCCATTATATGGTATATAAGGTATAGATTTTCAGTTAGTTGAGAGCTCTGTGACTGTGAAGAACTAGATGTATACACTGAAGTTAGGTGCAGGAGTTCCAGAGGATCCTGAGGCTGCAGAATCAGAGAGTTGGGTTACTCTTCCAGTGCAGGATTTACACCAGTGAGGTCACTGAGTGCTTAAAGGGAACCTGCACAGTCAGTTATAAATCGAGATGTTAATGCCAGGTGAATTAAGATTATATCATTGGGTTAACTGCTGATTTCCTTGATTTTTTTTCTAAAGGTCATTGTTAAGGACATAAATTTATGGAATGTGACCTCAGGTGGAAGGTTCATAATTTATATGAATTATTAACCAGACTGATGATGCATAATCAAACAAGTAAAGACAGTCCTAGGAAAGAAAATAATCTTCCAGATAAGGCACGATTTTTGTACACACTTTTGGATCCTGCAAGGCACCACACAGAACATTACATGAATTTATAAATAAAATTAAATGCTTGAAAGCAATTTGATGCAGCCGCTCAATCATAAAGAGAATTATTTAGAGTTATTCACTGCTGCTGAACAATATACTTTTCATAAATTTTTAAGTGTAGTCGGTATCTCACTATCTATAAAGCTGACTTGTTTTCAGCTCCTTAGAAATGTATCATTTTTAATAAATTAAGCTCCTATTTTCCAGACTCTTATTTGCTTTAGGGTAAATATTTTGCAAAAAAAAAAAAAAATTACCAAAAAAAAAAAGATATAACCTTTTTTATGTATAAGTTTATATAAGACTATGAAAAAAAGTGTGTTCATCTTAGTAGTTCCAAAGACTTCTAGCAATGCTTGTGTCCCCTGCTCTGGAGCAGCGATGAGCTTGGCAGGGAGGTGGTGTATTAGGAGCTCTGTCTGTTGGGAACGCGACTTTTGCCAAATAAGTGAAAATGTATCCTAATTTGGCCAAGTCATAAATTATAACAAACCATGTCTTGGATGTATCCATACATCCTGCTATACCTGCTGAATACATGCAGCTAAATTCTCTGATGACTCCATTTCAGTAGAAATGCCCAGATTCAGGGTAAAGCACAATTTTGTCTGCAGTTTTTTCTTCTGGACTTTTCTTGGGTCTTCCCAGACTGTCTCGGCCTGGAACCAGTGAAAGAAGCCTTTTCTCTGGTGCTGTCTGCACTTCCTGCTGGCCTTAGAGCTTGTGGGAGAGAAAAGCCTCTGATTTACACACAGAACCAGCAAGGGTTGAACTTTAGTGGGAGAGAACAGAGGGTAGACTTCAACCGAAGAAACGAACTGACACTCAGCATGGAGGAGGAATAAAGGGACATCTGATGAGCAGCTGTGTTCCCTGAGAACCGTCATATTTGGGAAGGCAAAATAATAAAGGAGTGAGGAGGTGATCACTACACTGGAAGAGGCAACAAGAGAGGAACCAGAAAGGAAGGTGGGTCACCTTCAGCCCACAACTCCAGGAATATGTCAAAATCCATGTAGGTGACTAGAAAAGGCTGAACAAAAAGTTTGGGGACAAACAGTCCAGCAGCAAGACTTCAGTTCCAGCGAGGAACCTGAGCCTCTTGGGTTTTGTGCTCTGGGCTTTTGGAGATACTTGGCTGTGGTGAAACTCGTGGTGTCAAGACCAAGAAGTCTGGGGCAAGGAAAACAGAAATGCTTCGTCAAAGGCATTATGGTTTTGAATGGGGCTGAGGCTGAAGGCTCAAGAAGGGTGTTTGAAAGGTAAGACTATGTCTCCTGAGAAACACTGTATGCAACCTGAGATTGTGCTGAAATCAGCACTGGACTCACAGAAGAATTGGGTTAAGGAGTATGTAGAGGGAAAGAGAAACTGTGTAACTGTGCCATTTAAAGTGGTATCAAAATATGCCAACACACAAATTAAGGTTTTACTGACACTGATATCAGGCATATCCCGACTAGGGAGTCCTTGCTAGTATTGGCTCCAGATGTGTGGCATTTGGCATCCCAAGGGGAGCACAGCTACGTTAAACACCCCCATCCCTAAAAAGTACCCAGATACCTAAACACAGTCACCGGCCCCTCACAGAGAAGCCACAGACGGGCCTAGGCTGGGGCTCCGTTCCTTTCGTTCGGGGCGCCGCTTCCCCCCCCCCCACCCTCGGAGCAGCAGCCGTGCCGGCGGCGGGCGGGAGGTGCCATGGGATGACGCCGGGGGGATTGTCGCCGGGGGGATAGACAGGGGCTGCCACCACCCTGGCAAGTGCCCGGGCGGCGATATTCCCTCCGGGACTTCCCGGCCGCTGCCCGAGGCCGCCGGCGCGGCTCGGGGAAGGGGCTGCCCAGCAAACTTTGCCCGAGGCGCTCCCCCGAGCCCCCGGCTCGCTGCAGCCGCCGACCTCCGTTACCGAACGTATCACTCGCAATTAGTGGTTTGATGTAATACCTGGGCGGATGGTTTGCATTACGGGAGAAATGACCTGATAATCGCCCGGCAGCGGCGCGCAGATGTGCTAAGTGACTCCGGTCCCGCTCCCGGTCCCGCTCCCTGGTGGCATCTCCCGCTCCCCGGCGCCTTCACTGCTCCCCCGCGGGCAGCAGTGGCTCGGTGGCCCCGGGCTGGCAACTGAGGGGCACGCTGGAGCGCGGAGGCTTGGAGGGATAAATGTTGCTTTCGATCAAGGAGCTCTGAAAAGCAGTAAAATACGAGGAATTCTTTCTAATAACTGCCTGAAATGTTTTACAAGTCGAGGAGATGAAATTTGGAAAGGGAAGAAGAAGGGCTCACGGTCCGTCACGGTCCCGCCGCACCGACGGCCCGGGCTGACTGGGGCACCGCCGACGGTGTCCCAAGGGAACGGGCGGGAATGGTGAGGCTGTGGCTGCACTAAAATGTGAGCCGTAGAGCAGCCACAGTCGCTTCTATATAACCTGTCCCCATCCATTGACTTGCCAAGTCTCCGTGAATAACGGACTATGATTTCTTTATAAACGCATTTAATAATGAATCACCAAGCAAGCGTGTTTCATTTTAAGCTGTTACAAGAGGACGATATCAAACTCGCTTGCAATACGAAACCCGAAATTGCTGAAGGCTCCAGAGAGCCGAGGTTGGTTGCTTTTGCTTTCAGGCTGGCCAGCAGACCGCAGTGGATCCAGTTGCTGGGGCTGTAGTGCTCTCCGAAGTTGCAGAGGGGTAACTGCTGAGGCTCTCTCTGCACACAGACACGTGAGTAAGAAACCTGGCCTTTCGGCATCACCTTGTATGTTGTCTCCGTGACTTAGTAAAACCATTTATGCTGGAGCAGTAAGAGTTGGCAACCCATCTTAAGTGTTTTACCGTGACTTTAAATGAGTCAAGGACGTTTTAAGTCCAGGGAAGGCCGCTGACGGATTTTCTTCGTCAAAAGACTGCAGCATTTCCCGTTAGCTTTATCTCTTGGAAATAGCATGAAGAGCGCTACACAGCAGCTATTTAATTGACTGTCGTTTTATAGAAGTTCTATTTCCTTTGGCAAGTCCAACACGTTTAGGAAGAGAACCCATGCCAGAAAGTCTGTTTCCAGCCAGCTTTCATTAAAAAGTAGGAAGAAAAAAGAAAAAAAAACACACACACACACACACAAAAACACCACACCAAAGGAACAGCAAGATTATAGGACCAAGGAACCAAGATGGATTTTGTGTTCAAGGTAGTTCAGCTTTTCAGCACTGTGTTTAAAACTTCAGGAATTATGTTTTGTACTGGTATAGAGAAGTGACAGAAGATGCGGGACTCAGTGCAAGAGTGGACGGTTTTCATGAAGCAACAGGATTTGGTACTCCAGCTAATGAGAAATAGCAGTTTGTATTATGTACGTCCAAGGAAGAGGCCTCCCGTGGGAGCAAACGGTAGGAGTTGAGTTGCTTGCTGTGGAGATAAGATCAAGGCCACAATAACCCACCGGCCAAGGTCTGTTACTCCTCCAGCGTGTGCCCGAATCTTCACCTGGGTGCCACATCAAGTGTGGTATATACGGGTGTACCCACGGTGCATTTAACTTACAGATCACACTTGAAAATGGTGGAAAGAGTGGGTGAAAACATGTGACAGACAGCTCGAATATGCACAGCTTGGTTCTGGGTCCGGTCTCAGCTTTTTCTTTTCAAAGTTTGTGTTCCAGTCCAAGTGACTGCAGAGACTCGATTTTTTTATGAAATTCCCTTTGGTACTTCTCTAAGGAGGCTTGTCAGAAGGCAAGGCTTTAGGGAAATATAGTTTTATATATAAATATAGCTTTAGGGACCTATTTACAGGCCACAGAGAGAGACTGAGATCATTTTGTCCTCTCTCCTGCTCCCGGTGCTGGGCTGTACCCTGAGATGAGCTATTTTCGAAGCAAAGGTATGCAGAGCATTTTTGTAGTTACACAGAAAATACAGGGGTTTAAGAACAAAAGATTGTTCTGGACAGTTAAACTGGAATGAGTTGGAAGGATACTTTAGGAAGTGGTTTCTTGGACACTAATTAGGACCATTTGCTTGGGGTTGCCATTATTTTCCTTTAAGACTGGAGGGCACAATAGATCAAATGATTTATATATCATTAACAATTCTTGTTAACCATAAGCAGGGTTGGGCTTTTCCATACTGATTACCGAGCAATGCAATAAGGACTTGTTTTATTTCTTCTGCAGTGTCCACATGAGCAAGCTAACGTGAAAGACCAGTCCAAAAAGAAGCGCTTCAACTCTTTTCTTTTTTTTTTTTTTTTTTTTTTTTTTTTTTTTTTTTTTTTTTTTTTTTTTTTTTTTTTTTTTTTTTTTTTTTTTTTTTTTTTTTTTTTTTTTTTTTTTTAATGTGTGAGTATTAATGTCCTACATTCTGCAAGAGCGGCTGCGAAACCAAAGCCCATCATCTCTTTGTGGCTGCCACTGCTGGAATACTGGCGTTTGCTGTACCTGATCCTGGCTCACAGTGAATGCATTTTAATTGTCATAAAACACAAACTGAACCATATGTGAACGTGTGTTTTAGACGGCGCATCACTGATCTCCTTTTCCCTTCCTTTTGGGCTACAAGTAATGGGTTACAATCCCACAATACGACTATTTTCAATTTAAAAGAAAGTAAGAAAGGGAGCACATACGATCAGTAAATCAATCCCACGGGTGTATCTAACATTACTGTTGGAAAGTAACGTGACGACCAAGAGTCATCGATGCCCATGAGTGAGTTTCGGCTGTTGGGAGGGCGGGAGGGGTAGGGCGGGACGGCGCTGTGTGCTGTGGTGTGTGTTGCTGTGCTGTGTGCTGTGCTGAGCTCTGTGTGTGAGCACCGTTGAGCCCGCCTGGCGCTCCTCACCGGCAGAGGCGGATGCCCGGGGCGGCAGAGCGCTCCCGGCGCGTACCTGGAAAATCCGCCCTTTGGGATAAGCCCATCCCCTTCGACTGCTCCGGGGGATGCTCCGACGTCTGTGCACAGCGAGCTTGGCCATGCCTGAGCACCAGAGCGGCACCCGGCCCCGGAGCCCTCCCGAGGGGAGGCCTAGGAAGCCGCCTCCGGGTCTCCGGCCCTCCTCAGCCCCCGGAGATGATCCTGCCGCCTTGAGGCAGGGCCGAGGCGGCTCCCTGACACACTTGCTACCGGATTAAATCCCCGGCAATGAGATGGGGGATGGTAGGAAGAAAGGCTCCACAGAGTGGCTTGGGTTCCTGAATAATTTAAATTCTTTGTATTTGATTGAACATCGGTCTGTTTGGTGTCCAAGTTTGTAAAAGCCTTTGAAAGACAAAAGAATTCTGTTTGCAAACATAATATGAAGTGTAACGCACACCACAGATATTCATGAGCACCCAGGAGGTACTGAGCACTCCTGTACACTCGAGGCCCTTGCCAAGAGCTACCGCATCTTTGTTTCATTAACACCAAGCCCTCCTTTATTTCCTGCTAAAGTCACCGACATCCGGACAGCTGTATTTATTGTCTCTCACGACTTCTCCCACAGATCTTCATTAAGGTTGAATGGCACTCACATACCATGTCCTATCATAGTGTGGACGAGCTCCCAGAAAATCCTAAACGAATCCCCAACCCAACCAGTGTCCCCGAGATGAAGCCGATCTGCTCTCGCCGTGGAGCGCTCTGCCACTGGGAGGACTCGCAGGCGGTAGTGACCTTCGGGACATCTCGATGCCTCGCAGCAGCTCCGTCATGGACATTGGCTGGGAGGGTTTTGGGTTTCTCGGAGGGGCTGTAGTAAAGGGAAAGGCTTTTTTGGTGGTTATTTGTTTTGGGGGGGGGGTTGAATTTTTGGGGTGTTTTTTTTTGTTGGTTTTTTTGTGGGTGGGTTTTTTTGGTTGTTTTTTGTTGGTGTTTTTTGTGGTTTTTTTTTTTTTTTTAAGTGCTTTCAAATGAAAAGCCAGTTTCATTTAGACGGGAAACTATTGTCAGTTTCCTGGTGTCCCATTTTGATCTTTCCTCAGCTTGGGTTGAACGAGATGTCTCGAAACCTATTCCAAAAAGATGCTTGTACAGGCTTCCAGATGCTAAGATTTAGATCATTTGAACGTCAGCGCAGCCTTCTGGTAACAAAAAACATCCAAATGGATTTCATTTGTGTGTTAACATCCGTCAGATGGGAGAGTAGCACAGTTTAGAGCTAAAGTCTGTTTTCATCGTTTTAGCAAGTGGGTCCACATGAACATCTCGTCTGGCAAGTCAATAGGTTGAAGCTACACTGAACAGACTGATTCCAAATATCTGAAATGACTCGGAATAGCTCTGCTAGCAAATACACATTTAATGTATGAGGCTATTACTGCTGTTTATATAGCTCCGCGTGTCCATGCAAATAAATGGAGAGAGGGGTCATTGCGGGGAAAGACAGCTCTAAACGGACCTAGGGAATTGTGTGCCCCAAAGCAGCGGCCAGGACCCAGTCCCTCGCCAAGGTACCGCCCATGGGTCCTGGTTCCGAGCGCAGGAACCCAGCATCGGTCACTGTCGCTGACCGCTCCCGGCCCCCGCCGGGATCCTCTCCCGGCTGTCGTGCTGGGTGTGGGATTTGTAACGCACGGGCCGGTGCTGCTGCCGCAGCAGCAGTAATGAAATAAAGCATAACATTAGTTAGGCGTGACGCAGCAGGTGGCTTATTATAAGCCTTGCATATTCCTCTGCCTCCTGCTCCCATTAGAGCACCGGTAATTGGGGAAAAAAATATTTTAGGCGATTTAGAGAGTAAGCGGAGGAACGAAGAGCCCGCGGCCGCGGCGTCCAGCGGAGCCAGAGCCGGAGCGGGGCCGGGGCTGGGCTTCTCCCTCAAAGTCGCATCAACAGCACCGTGGTGATTATGATACTAATAATTCTTATTGTTGTACCTTGGCGCAGATGCCGGCTGCTCTCTCGAGGAGGTTAAGGAGACAGCACGTCCCATGAAGGTCCCTCTCTCCCTGCGTGCTCAGCCGCTTCCCGGCACGCACACACCGACGGGTTCAGCTACCCCTGCACTAGGGCTGGTCCCACTTTTGCCTTAAACTTCCCGGTCACCAGCGGATTTAATGAAAACCTTACTTTAAAAGTTCTCGCCATACAGAACATGGAAGCAAGACGGGTTTGCATGGCCCCGGAGCCGGCACGGCAAACGCTGCGTGATGAGAGCTCATGGTTCCTGCCCTAAATCCACTACTACTGCAGACACAGACTCAGCTTTTAGGTTCTCCACCAGAAGTACCCGCACAAACACAGACACACACGCACACACACACACCCGCCCGACACCTCTCTGGCCGGTTTCTCCAGATGAGCTGCTGCTGTCGGGTGGGATGTGCCCTTTGCTGCCCGCCCGCATCCATAGGGACCGCAGGCACGACGCTGCCACTCCCGCCGAGCTCCCCGAGCTCCCCGCGCTCCCCACCCAGTCCTGCCCAAGGGAGGGCGGGCAAGGGGCCTTCCCGCGGCGGCCGGGAGGGAGCCCGGGACGGGAAGAGCGGCTGCCCGTGCCACCGCGCTGTCACCCAGGCGCTGCCGAGCTGCTGCCCCGCCGGCAGAGCCGAGGCACACGGGGACGGCGACCTGCCACCCTGCCCCGGGCGCACGGCCGGACCCCCCCCCAGCCGGTGCGCACCCCGGCGGGCAGCCGAGCCCGCCCTGCCTCCTCCGCACGCCAGCGGGGCTCCGCTGACAAACTCCGAGGAAGATCATTAGCATCCCTTGCTTTCCTTTTTTTTTTTTTTTTTTTTTTTTTTTCCAGTAGATTACCAAGCTGGCCACGTAGACCTGAGGGTCACATGGCTCAGGGGAGAAGGGCTGAAACTGTCGCAGGAGTTAAGAGAAACGGGCAAACAAAGCCGAAGCGAGAAGTCATCTCGTGTGGCTGCTGCAGAAACAGCTCCCCCGGCCACAGGGTCCTCGCAGTGAGCCCCTTCCTGCGAAAGCCCCTCCGCCAGGGCCGGCGGGAGGTGCGGCCGCAGCCCCTCCGCAGCCCGGCCGGGAGCCGGCTCCTGCCTCCCCGCCGGCTCCCCGCTTCCCCCGAGTAGGGAGAGTACGAGAAATGACTCTCGACCCTATATTTTTCTATTGTTTTGAGCCGGTGGATCAATTGTCATCAGTACTGTCACCTAAGAAGCAATGATTCCGATTCATCTTGGCATCTGATTTTATTCTAATGGGTTAAATTGGGTTCACTTTTACAATTATCCCAGGTTTGACTGTGTAGTATTGCATGACAACTCACAGTTTCATCGGGTTTGGCAAAGCGAGGTTGCTCCATGAATCCGTATATCATATCACATCAGATCAGGCTGAAGTTTGCTGTTTAGCGACTCCATTTGAGAGGCTTTTTATGAAAGTGGGAAGGGTTGATGCAGTCCATGGCTAGTTCAGTGCGATTTGAAAAAAAAAAAAAATGTGGAGAGATGGCAACAACCCGGGGTTTGCTGCTCAGCTGTGAATAAGCACAGAACGAAAAAAACGACGTGATGGGGAAACGCTCAGCTCGCTACAATATTTTTAACAGCCTCTCAGTCCTCGCCTTTTTTTAATTTCCTAATATGTTCTTTGCTTTATTACTTTTATTTACAACCAGCTCCCCATTAACACCTCACCTGATTACTGAGGAGCTGAGACAGCTAATCAAGAAAATCCAGCAAACCAGCCAAAATTGAGAGGTGGGATTTATTTTTTTGCTTTCATTCAATATTCTTTGTATTTATTTATTTATTTTGTTTTGGAAAATATTTCGAAACAAACAGAAAATAAAAGGCAGATATCAGTGTATGCTGGCGGGAGGTCAGAGGTTAGAAATTCACGTCAATTCCATATCAGAGGCGGGGGGGGGGGGAAGACAGAGGGAGAGAAGGGAGAAAAAAAATCTTTCCACCAAGCAGCTTGTTTATTTTAATTAACATAGGGATTCTCTGCTAGGAACAAGGAACAACCTCCATCTACTGGCTAGATCATTGCGTCTCTTCTCCATCCAAAACCCATCCCTCATCACTCATTAAGGAGGGTATAATTTTGGAAGAAGCTTCTGAGGTTTCAAGGTAAGCTCCTGCATGAGTCTTTGCTAGCAACGCAGCTATTTGGACCTCATGGATGTAATTTGCGGGGTGTTTCTTTGGCGTGGTGTTGTTTGTTTGTTTGAGGTTTTTTAACAACACAGAATGGTAGTTTTCCCAGGTGTATTCGCAAATAACATTTCATGCATCTATGTTTTAATCTAGAAAAATAGCAGTCTGGGAAGGCTGAACCGTTCAGC